TTGTGTGCCAGCTCTAGAGAGGCACAGTGGGTCAGGGTGTGCCCGTCTTACAGAGTGTCATGTTCCTGGGAAGAAGAGAGGAGTTCGGTGTGAACAAACTGTGACCTGGGGATGGAAGAAGAGCTCTCCTGAAATGCCGGATAGGCCCGCCGGAGGGTGAGCCCCTCAAAGAAGGGATGTGCCAGGCAGGGAAGTACCCCTCTGGGTAAAAGGCAAAATGAACACGCCAGTTGTTTCGTTGCCCTTCCCCAAACAACACTACACTAAACAGATGTTTATCAAAACTTACATGAGGTTGGGGAGTACAGGCAAGAAGAGCAACAGAAGCAACAAAATTTAGAAGGTTGGAAGCAGATGGAACACGTGCAAACTGATTAGCAGATGCAAGACAGCTACACCTTACACTCAGGTGGGTAAAACCGAGAACTGCCCTCTTAACACCAGAAAATCCCAACAGGGCGTAAGTGCTGAACGGCCAAGCACTTCTGGAACTGGGGCAAAGAGGAAGAGAGAAGGTTAAAAGGTACTCAAAAGTAGATCTCGGCCAAGCGTGGTGGCTCACGCCTGTAATCCTATGCAGTCTGGGGCCGAGGCCGGAGGATCGCTCAAGGTCAAGAGTTCAAGACCAGCCTGAACAAGAGTGAGATCTCATCTTACTAAAAATAGAAGAAATTAATTGGTCAACTAAAAATATGTAGGGGAGAGGAGGAGACGGAAGTACTGAGCCCAGGGGAGAGGAGGAGACGGAAGTACTGAGCCCAGGGGAGAGGAGGAGACGGAAGTACTGAGCCCACTCTTTATGAGATGCTGCTCATCCTTCAAGAGAGCTTCAAGAGCCACCACCACCAAAGCCTTCCCCGAGTCCCCAGCCAGAGGCAACTGCTCCCTTCTCTGCAAGCCTGAGCACTTAGCACATGGCTTCATTTATTCATCTATAAATATTTAATGAGTGTTGATTCCATACCAGACACTATTCTAGGAACTGGGGACACAGCGCTGAACAACACAGATAAGTCCCTGCTGTCATGGAGCGGATATATTTGTCTTGGAAAGGGGGGACATGAACCAGCAAACTCCTAGCGTATAAGATGTCAGGCAGCAGTGTGTGCTATGAAGAAAAATAAACAGAGTGAGAGGGATAAGAAGTGCCGGGGAGGGAGAGTCGCTGTTTGACCGGGGTGGCAGGGAAGGCCTCTCTGAGTAGGGAACATGCCAGTGGAGACCTGCGGGAATTGAGACGTGGTGCTCGCTCGGGGGTGTGATGGTGGCCGGCAGGGACATGTGGCTGGGGCGCAGCGAGCAAGGCGGAGGGTGGTGGGAGGTGAGGCCGGCGCAGTCTCGGGGCCTGGGTGATGTGGGAGCTATGGGGTGCTTTGAGGAAAGCAGCACCAGGTCTGACTTTCTTGTTAAAGGATCATTGTCCCCTGAGCCGAGAATGGATGGGAGCAGTGAGGTCGGCGAGGAGGTTATTACAGAAATCGAGGTGACGGGATGTGAAGCAGGCAGGTGGCAGGGAATGGCAAGAGGTGATTGGATTCAGGATACTTGTGAAGGGAGAGCCGCCGGGATGCCTGGTGGAGTGGAGGTGAGACAGGAGGAACACGGGATTGTCCCCGGGTTTGGCCTGAGCCAGATGAAGCTGCCATCTACTGAGACTGGCGGGAATTGGCTGGAAAGGGGAATAGGAGTTTGGCTTGTGGCATGGTACGTTTGGGACCTCTCAGACCTTCCAGTGGAAGTGCCAGGTCTGCCAGCAGCAGTGACAAGCTGGGGTTCGGGGAGGGGTCTAGGAGGAGATAGAAATTCATGAGTCATGAGCGTGCGGATATTTAAAAGCCACAAGACAGGAGCAGGTCCCGCGTGTTGTGAGTGTAGACAGAGGATGGAGAATGGTTCTGAGGCCAAGCCTGGGGCAGGTGCGGGGGGTGCGGGAGGACAGATGAAAGAGCCAGCCCAGCAAAAGCGGCCAGGGGTGTCCCAGGCGCAGGTGAGGTGAAGGTTTCAGGAGGTGGGGTCATCACTGCTGATGGATGGGGCAGGTGAGGCATCAGGACTAGCCGCTGGACTTGGCAGCGTGCAAGTTGTGGGGGGCCTCGATGAGCAGTTCCGACGCAGTGGTCCAAAAGTGGGTCCAAAAGCCCGACTGGAGAAGGGATAGTGAGGACAGCGAGTGCAGACAGCTTTTTCAAAGAATTTTTCTGTAAAGGAAAGAGCAGGGAAATGAGGGCAGGAGCTAGAGGAGGATGTGGGGTCAAGGGAAGTTTCTTTTATAAAAGGGAGGCAGCACGTCAGCCTTGATTGCTGCCGGGAAAGCTGCGGCAGAGAGGAAGAGTTTTCCCCTGCAGGGAGAGCAGGAATGATTGTTGGAGCAATGTCCTCGACTGGGCGAGAGGAGAGGGGGCGCGGCGAGGGGCGGCTCTGGACAGGAGTGTGGGTTAGCCGTAGACAGAAGGGAAGGCAGATGCCGGGTGCGGGGCTACCTCGGGTGGGTACATGTCTCCTCTTTTCTACTGTAGAAATTCCCTGGGAGCAGAGACCCTGACTTATGTGCTTCTGTGTCCTCATAACCCTAGCTTGGCAGTCAGCAGGTACTTAATGTATATATTTGAGTGAGTGTATGTTAGGAGTCTTTGATTTCTGACAAGTAATGCACATCATTTGGAGTCAGCTTAAGAAATGCAGCAGAGCTGGGTGTGGTGGTGCACGCCTGTAGTCCCAGCTACTCGGGAGGCTGAGGTAGGAGGATCGCTTGAGCCCAGGAGCTCAAGGTTGCAGTGAGCTAGGATCCTGCCACTGCACTCCAGCCTGGGTGACAAAGTGAGACCCCATCTCTAAAAAAATTTTTTTTAAGTTGTGGAAGAAACAAAGCAGAATTCATTGATAAGGCTAGAGGGCCTTCTGTGGAATTGACAAGAGGAGTATAGAAGTGCCCAGGCAGGGAACGAGGCCAGTATTTGGAAGCATGCTGGGACTCTCTGTCTCTCGCTTCTTACTCTATCCTGAGCTCAGCTTCATTTTTCTGTCTCTCCATTGGCCGGCTTTGCCTGCTTCTCAGTCCCTGTGCAGAACATGGCTGCCCTACCCTTTCAAAGTTAAATTTCCAGACACAATGGTAGACTGTCTCTAGGTGCTAATTCCCAAATCCTAGGTCAAATAATTGGATTAGATCAGCTGCCTTGGTGTTCATTACTGGACCCATCAGCTATGGCCAGGGAGGCAAGGGACATGTGTCTAACAGTTGGAAGCTCTTCCTCATGGGTGGCCTGGGGGTCTCCAGAGAAGAAGGGCTGGACAGACGCCTCAGCCAGTCTCACTATGGTGACCAGGTGGACAGGTAGGTGTGGATGGCTGGGTGGATATGGACAAGGGGTGAATGAATGAATGAATGGGTGGACAGATGTATGTTTTCAGCAATGTTTACAAATAATGTTAACAGCTCAGGAACTCGGACTGAGAGGAGGAGGGCTCTTGGCAGCGATGCTGGTGGTGGGTGAGGGAAACCTCTGAGGACAGAGCCGTTAGCATGGCTCAGGGTGTAGAATCGGCCACTGCAGAAGGAAGCTCGTTACTACTGGCTAGAGATTGCTGGAAACTCCTGGTTTCCCTTCCTTCTAGGAAGCTAGGAAGTTTCTCCTCCATATTTTCTTCCCAGCTGCTGAAGCGGAATCGTTTTCAGCCTTGACAGGGACCAGTTTCTAAAAATAAGCTGAGACATACAGTGGCCCTGTTGTCACCAAGCCTGGGGCAATTGGTTCTGTCCAGTCTCTACAGGTGGTTTGGGGAAGCCATGGACTGCTATCCTCCCCTCCCACTATTTTGGGACTGGCCTTTCTGCAACCCAATCTCCTGTTTCCTTCTCAGGATACCCGGAACCAGAGGTGACCTGGTACAAGGATGACATAGAGCTGGACCGCTACTGCGGCTTGCCAAAATATGAGATCACTCATCAGGGCAACCGCCACACCCTGCAGCTGTACAGGTGAGGGCGGGGACCCTGCCCTGGGAAAGCGGGTTGGCAGGGTGGAGGTGCCCAGGCACCGTGTGGGGGTGGCGGGCAGGGGGTGCTGAGTTGGGCCTCCTGGTGAAGCGGTCTGCCTGCCAGAGTCTGGGATCTCCTAAGGCCAGGGTGGGAGTATTTCCGACAGTCGGAGAGCTGAGTGCAACCAGAGGAGGTCCTGACCCACAGAAACATTTTCCATGAGGTCAGCGGCCAAAAAAAGCAACTGTGTCATCATTACTTCACAAGGGGCTGTTCTGGTCACCTGCTTCTGAAGGGCGCTCTCCTGGGCCCCACGTCTAATCCCTCCTGGGACAGTGTGACCTTGGCCAGCTGCAACCCTCTTGCGAGCCTCAGTTTCCTCAACTGTAATGGAGGGTGTTGCATGTGGTGACATCCGAGGTGGGCGTGGCACCCGGCAGGACTTGCTGAGAGGGGAGCAGGGACCCCGGGTCGGGTGGCACCTCACGCTCCTACCTCTAGGTGTCGAGAAGAAGACGCCGCCATCTACCAGGCCTCGGCCCGGAACACCAAGGGCATCGTGTCCTGCTCGGGCGTCCTGGAGGTGGGCACCATGACCGAGTACAAGATCCACCAGCGCTGGTTCGCCAAGCTGAAGCGCAAGGCGGCGGCGAAGCTGCGCGAGATCGAGCAGAGCTGGAAGCACGAGCGCGAGGCGGCGGGGGAGGCGGACGCGCTGCGCAAGCTCAGCCCCGACCGCTTCCAGCGCAAGCGCAGGCTGAGCGGGGCCCAGGCGCCCGCGCCCTCGGGGCCGGCCCGGGAGGCCGAGGCGGGCACCCCGGCGGCAGCGGCGGCGAGGCCCGAGGGAGAGGCCGAGGCCGCGCCGCGCTCGGGGCTGGGCCTCATCCACGGCTTTGCGCCCGGAGAGGCGACGACCAATGGCGAGGCCGCCCCGGAGAACGGGGAGGGCGGCGAGCGTGGCTTGCTGTCGTACCTCTGCGACGCCATGGAGCGGGGGCCTCAGCGAGCCCCCAGGAAGGAGTCGGGGGCCAAGAAGAAAAAGAAGGATGAAGAACCTAAGCAAGGCCCGCGGAAGCCGGAGTTAGAGAAGGCCGCCCGAAGCCACCGTTCTGTGGAAAACCGTGTCCCCAGTTCAGAGCAGCCTGACTCCTGCGCGACGCCGGGGCCCGGGGGTGCCGAGCAGGCCCAGGGCCAGCCGGGAGGCAGGGCCGCACGGGCGCCTGCGCCCCCGGGGTCAGCTAGTGCCAGCAAGCCAGCCTCTGCCCTGGGCCCCCGACACAAGGCCCCGGGCCCAGCCCCAGCCCCAGCCCCGGAGGGGCGTTTCTCCCTGAAGGACTTGTATGAGGAGAGCACCCGCGCGGTCGGGCCGCAGGGGGACGCGCCCCAGCCCCCGGGTGTCAGGGCAGCTGGCGAGGTCCCCTCGGGGAAGGCGCCCAGCAAGGCTAGAGGTGAGGGGGCGCCCGCTGCTCCCGGCCAGCCCGCCCCCGCCGCGGCCCCGCAGCCCACCAGGCCTTTCAACAGGAAGAGGTTTGCCCCCCCGCAGCCCAGAGGGGAGCCCGCCGCCACCACCGCCGAAGGCAAGCCCGCGTCTGCCCCGGGCCAAGCTCCAGAGCGCGAGGCCCAGAGCTCAGGGAAGGCGCCGCCTCAGGCCTCTGCCCAGGTGCCGACACCTCCTGCCCGCCGGAGACACAGCACCCGGGACAGCCCCTTGCAGGGGCGGGCAGGCCACAGGACTCCGGGAGAGGTACGTGCGGGTGCGGGTGCCCTGAGGCTGCTCTGGGCACTGACCTCATGGAAACTCTTGCTGCAAGGGCTGGGCAGCCGGTGAACAGCGGGCTATTTATAGGAGGGGTGGGGAGGGGATGGGGTGCCAGGAGCCGGGGACCACAGGCATGGCCCTCACCCCAGCCGCCCTGCAGATGCCAGGCATGCGGCAGCACAGCCTGACCCTGACCCTCTCTTCTGAGAGGGTGGGAGTTCATGGCCAAGGGGACTGTGCCCATAGGGAGGTGGAGGAAGATGACGTTCCCAGGGGCCAGTGGAGAGTGTTCTGGCTGTGCCGAGGCCGGTGTTTTTTGCGGGAGACTGAGGAGCAGCAGTGTGCTGTGGTGTACAGTGGCTCTCAACATGAATGCTCATTAGAAGATTCTTCAAAATACTGAATGTCTAGGAAATGCTAGTTAAATCCCTGTTTAAGGTTTTAGAGTCGGATTATACCTATCTGCAAATCTGACTACCCTCGACATGGTGTGATCTTGGGCAAGTTGTAAAATTGGAATAATAATACTACCGCTTACTTTACAGGGCTGTCGTAAGAATCGGGGTGCTTACCACAGGGTCTGTGCCCACTGAAAAGTAAATAAATGAAAGGTGGGCAAGGTACGGTAGCTCGTGCCCATAATCCTAGCACTCTGAGAGGCTGAGGCAGGAGGATTGCTTGAGGCCAGGAGTTCGAGACCACCCTGAGCAAGAGTGAGACCTCGTCTCTACACACAAAAATAGAAACTTTAGCCAGGCATTGTGGCACACACCTGTAGTCCCAGCATCTTGGGAGGCTGAGGCAGGAGGATCACTTGAGCCTAGGAGTTTGAGCTTGCAGTGAGCTGTCATGATGCCACTACACTCCTACCCTGTCTCAAAAAAAAAAAAAAAATTTCAGTTGGTATAAGATCCACTGTGGTGGGAGACAGAGGCAAAGGGTTCACCTGGGAGCAGGAGTGCCATCATTTTCTGGGGAGCAGGTAGCCAACAGAGAAAAGATGATGTTTTATGTGGAGACAAGGGTAGAGGGGTGTCCATTAATCAAAGAAAGAAGAAGACAGGTGACAGCATAGGAAACTGAGGAGCGGGATTGAGAGGATTGAGGGAAGGGACAGTTGTCTCTTTTGTTCATTATTTCTTGTTTCCGGTCAGAGAGGGCAATATTTCATAGGGGTTTAGGGAAACAGTGTTTCATAGCTAGAAATAAGACAGTATTTCTCACGAGTGGCCGAAGAAAAAGCGTTTCAAAAGCGGAGGTGGGGTGGATAAAATAGATGGGACATATTTATCCTAAGAAATTATTGGTCATTTATCTGAAATTCCAATTTAACTGGGTGTCCAGTATTTCTTTTTGTTAAATCTGGTAACCCTAAGTGGAGACAGCCCCTGGTCTGGGTGGGAACTGAGATGAGACCGTTTTCTGGGATGGAGGCAGCAGGAGCCCTGGGTCCTGGTGTGGAGGGGGGCGGTGGTGGGCGCGGGAGGGGCATTAGAAGCAGCGTTTCGCAGGGGTGGGGCAGAGGATGTGTGGTTTCTTGGAACAGTGAAGGGAAACACACGAGGGACACACTGATACAGCACCTCATAGAGGGCAAAGGCGAAAAGATGCTTTGTGGGGAGCTGGGAGGGGAAGAGGGAGAGACCAGTGTCGAGGGTGACCATGGGACATGGTTTTAGTTCAGAGGTTGCTGAGGGCAGACCGTGGGAAGTGGTTGAGAGAGCTGTGGAGTGGAGCAAACCGCAGGGACCTCAATCCAGCCTCTGGAATCTGTTCATGACTCTTGCCAGCCTTGTGCATGGTCTCGGGCGATTTCAGCCGCTGGTGCGGTGAGTCCACCGTGGCCCAAGGAAAACCTGGTAGGGCTGCTCCCTGAGCCCGCCAGCCCACAGGCCCGACCGTAGGGGCTCTGGGAAGAGATGGCCTCCGAGGCCCCAGGGAGCTCACCGCGGAAGTGCCCAGGCTGGCTGCCAAGTGTGGGTGCAGATCTGGCTTCTCCACCTACAGGGGTGGGGAGTGCCACACCAGGAAGGCAGCGTCCACCTGGCAGGGCCAGAGGGGGACGTGCCAGCCCCCCACATCCCCTTCCTTACCTCCAAAAGGTCAGGGGGTGGTCAGGCAGTGCGGGCAACTGAGAGGTTGTCTGGTGGTGGTTCTGCTGCTCCTGCAGAAACTGTATGGTTTTTATTTTATTTTTCTAAACTTTAAAAAATTGTGAGATGTATCATACATGTGAAAAATGTGTGTATATTTTTAAGCTGTACCTTTTCAGTGCATGAATTTGGTCGTTTTTTCGTATTCTTGTCCTACCAACTCTTTCTGGAAAAAAGTTATTTTTCTGATTATAAAAGAAACAAATGGTCCTAGTAGAAATATGGAGGAAACCCTGTACATTTGAAGGAGAAAGTAAAAATTCACCTTCAGTCTACCATCTGGAGGTAACCATTGTCCAAGTGTTGATGGGACATCTTGGTGTATCTACCAATCTTTTTTATGTGCATATTTAGTTTGTTTTTATTGTTTTAAAAATTTAGTTTGTACTGTTACTCGATTCAGTTTTATGTCCTGCTTTCTTTAGTTCTCATTATTTCATGAGTATTTCCCCATGGTTTCTAAGAATTGTTTGAAAAATTTCATTTTAATGGCTATATAAAATGCCACAGTATGAATATTTGAACGATTTTTTCCATAGTATTTATGCTTTCCTTCTCTGTTCTTTTTTTTTCTTTTACCCGAAAAGCTGCTAGTTTCGATCCTTCCCCATTCTAAATTAAGTATTAATCTGTATTTTTTCTAATTTTTATTGTTTGAATACTTTTATATGACTTTTAAATTAATCTGGAATTAATTTGTGTCTATAATACAGCATCAGTCTCTGCCTTGATTTTAGACTAATAAATAGGTAATTTTCCCCAACATGATTTGTAGACAATTCAACCCTTATGTATTACTTCATCATTCTTTCTTTATAAACTAATTTTTATAAATACTAGAGCCTATTTTAGTTCCTACATATGCATATATTATAAGTTATTAATCTGTTGATTCTTACAAGATAATTTTGTTTTAATTTTTATAGCTTTGATTTCTGGCAGGGCAAGTTCTTACACAGCTTTTAAAATTTTTCTTAGCATTATTTATTCCTCTTGGAAAACTTTAGAATCATTGTTTGAAATGCTCCAAACTACCAGATGCCATTTTTTTCTTTTTACTTTATATCTTTATGTGCACCATGTTTAAAAACTACATATTAAACAAGTGATGAATTATTCATTTTTAAATTATTTATTTATTTACTTTTTGAGACAAAGTCTCACTCTGTTGGCCTGCCTCGTGCCATGGCATCATCATAGTTCATTGCAACCTCAAACTCTCAAACTCCTGGGCTCAAGCAATCCTCCTTCCGTGGCCTCCCGGAGTGCTAGGATTACAGAAGTGAGCCCCTATGCCTGGCCTTGATGAATTATTTTTAACAAGATCATAAAATCTCTTAAATCCTTTTATGGATAACTAAAGGTGGATTTGCATTTTTTTTTTTTTTTTTTTTGAGACAGAGTCTTACTCTGTTGCCCTGGCTAGAGTGCCGTGGCATCAGCCTAGCTCATAACAATTCAAACTCCTGGGCTCAAGTGATCCTTCTGCCTCAGCCTCCCAAGTAGCTGGGACTACAGGCATGCATGCGTCACCATGCCCGGCTAATTTTTTCTATTTTTGGTAGAGACGAAGTCTCACTCTTGCTCAGGCTGGTCTGGAACTCATGAGCTCAAAAGATCCACCCACCTCGGCCTCCAAGAATGCTAGGATTATAGGCATGAGCCACCACACCAGGCCCAGATTTGCATTTTAAATGCTTTTTTATTAATAGTAAAACTTGCTCTGTGTGTGTGTGTGTGTGTGTGTGTGTGTGTATACACACACATATTTTTAAATAGCTTTATTGAGGTATAATTTATGTACCACAAAATTCACCTAATTTACTTCAATGTAGGTAATTCAGAGTTGCACAACCATCTTCACAATCCAGTTTTAGAATATTTCCATCACCCCAGAAAGATCCCTATTTCCTTTAGCAGTCAATCCCTTAGACAACCACTAATCTTTCTGTCTCTGTGCTGTTGGTATTTTGATTGGGATTGCATTAAGCAAAAGAACTAATAGGGAAAAACCAATCTCTTAATACTTAACTTCCTCATTTGGGAGCACGGTATTTATATCCACAATTCGCATCTTCTTTCTTATCTCTTTTTAAGTTCTGTTGTTGTCTTCACATAGGCTCAGCATGTCTCTTGTTAGGGTTAGGTACTTGGAGAGTCTCTGCTTCTGGGATATGATGCCAGTACTCCCCTACTCTGTCTTGATTTTCTTTGATTTGTCTTTGATTTTCTTTCCTGGGAATAAGGGGTAACTCTGGAAGCTTGAGTTAGGCTTGGTATGGATGAGGAGCAGATGCTAGAGCTGGGGCCTCTTGGGTTGTTAAGAATGTCCAGCGATCCTCTCCTCCAGCCCAGCCATGCTGTTCAGACAGCTCTTTCCCTGGGCAGAAGCAATCTTGCCTAAAGGTACTTGATAAGTGGAAACTGGCCCTCAGTGCACTCAAAGGTTGCTTTCTAGATCCTAACCTGGGATCTTTTCTGAGACTGCATCAGATCTCTGGAGTTGAGGTATAGGAGTGTGGGGACATGGTAGAATGCCCCCTCTGCCCGAATCCTTGGTGGGGACAGTGTAGGTATGGGAGAGCTCTGCTGAATGCTGTGGGACCTAAGAGTGTGTCTCCTTGAGAAACCCTGTAGGTCCTGAAGATGATCATCCCAAGATGTGGTAACTCCTCTCTCATAATAAGGGCTCCTTGGTTTTCAGGTAACACGTGAATGTAAGTATCTTCTGAGAGCTGTTGAATGGATTGAGGGAGACGTGATCCTTGCCTTGAGGCATTATCTACTGAATTGAGGGGAACACTCTCACATAAGACAATGAATGATAACTGC